ACTTGTATAACTTAGTGTAACTTATTTATTATTATTTGGGAGAATTTGAACATTTCCCCTTTTTACACTTTGAATTTTAAACAACATTACCAATTAATAACATATTTTGGATCTTTTGGGAGATATTGCATTTGAGATTGTAAGACATACATTGGTAGGTCAATTGTACATGTTGCTTTCAATTTTGTTTATTCTATATAGATCTGATTCTGCCTTTAAATACCAAGACATCAGTTTACTTCAACTGTCATGACTAAAGCATTTGATAGTATTTGCATAAAAGGAGCATGTTGGTTATCGCAAACAACTTCAGGCAATTCTAACTTGAATTATGAATATTTTCTGACCATGAACATGGGTATATCTTTTAGATCTATTCATTATCTTCAAGAAAAGTAAATATAATGATAATGAAGTTAATCAGACCAAAGTGATATTAAAGGGAATGGCCCAATCAACATACTTTTTACTAAAAATGTTGACCTAATTTTTACCAAAATACAACCTTTAATTATATTGTTGAATGCATAATTAGAATGTGCTTTGAGACATGTTCTATTTCCTAAGAGGAAAAGTGGATTGCTCCAGAGACTTTAAAGATACTGAATTTGGATGACCAAAATGAACTGAAACCAATGGATATCATGACTGATATCAATGGAGAAATAACATGGGGAACAGGGGAATTCAGTTTTCCTTTCAAGAGCTATTTGATACATTAAATAAAGAGTAGTAATGCATTAAACATTGTAAAAAATGATAGCATTTTTGGTGAAAATTAGGTCAACAACTTTGAAAAAATATATTGATTGGTTGATTGCTAGCGAAGTATCTCCGAGTCCGATTGACTTTATTATCCCCTTATACCTGTCTTCATGGTCAGAAAATAGTCATAATCAAAGATTTAACTGTCTGAAATTGTTTGTGATAACTTACCTGAAGCTTTCCAGGTCAAATCAGGAGTGACAAAATTATTTCCACCAGATATTTGACATGTCTTCAAATACGATAGTATTTCCTGCATAAGATAGGGTGTCACTTGTGAAATTTATTGATTGACCTGATATCGTACCATATCTTTATGCCATAGAAGCAAAATTACCATATTGAACTTTAATGAATGTTGGTTGCCACTTTTCGACAATTGTCAAAGTTTGGGAGTTTTGGGGGAGGGGTACAATTCACCTGACTCAGACTATCCTTAAAGGAGCACAGATTCACCCGAGAGCATAACTTTTTCAAAACATGTAAGTATTATTTTTGGACCACTCACATTAATGTTTTGTCTAATTCTCCCTCAGAGTTTCCTCATCTTGCCTTCCTTTGCAGTTTGAGAAGATTCGGCATTAGGTGTTATAAGTCCCAGAGCACAATAAATAAAAAATAACAACAAAATGACATAGAACTGATAAACGTTTTCTCTTGTGCGTGTCAGCCATGGTCTACCAAATTGCTATTCAGTAAGAAGAAACTCATTTTTCAGTTTCCATTTTAATTTCCTGACAAACAGAGCGATCATCCCAGGATTTTTTCTATGATCTATGTGTCGCCATAGCAACTTCTGTTATGGAGACATTGCATGAACAACAGAAAAGATTATTTTACCATAATTTTAATCATCCCACATTGTAGACATATTTAGATTTAAAAATATGAAGAGAATGACAAAACATCTTTAAACACATTTCTTAGGAAACAAATAGTGTGGTATTCTTGTTACTATGGCAACAGAGTTTTTTCTTTTTGTCATTTTTGTCATACAGATTACCTATCATACCATGACCAAATCCTGAATATTTGAAGTCAGTACCTTCATTAGTATCTAAGATATATAGGTTTCTTATAGTATCCCCTGCAGATTTTATTGAAGTGTAAGGAAAATGCTCTGAAGAGGGTTGCCCAAGGATGCCACTATGGTATTTTTGAGGTCCCAACCCTCTATTCATGGGAATAATTAACCATTGTAAAGCTACTCATGGTAAACTGACAAAATTGATTGCATCTTCAACTATGACGTCAATAAAATGTTAAAACCAGAAGAAAACCACACCAACTCTCTTCTATTTACCAGGGGTAGGGCACTATAAAGTCATATTAAAATTACAAAATAGTTTTTCATCACTGTAATAGATGTATTACAATATCACACATAGCTTAGGAATGTTGTTAGAATACTACTTTGAGTTGTTAAAATTATCATATTTTGCTTGAAGCTACAAATATAAAATAAGCAATAAGAAAATGACAAAAATTGCATATTTTTTTCTAATTAATTGTATCTTTGCGAAACCAACAAAGATATCAACCTATAACTTTAGGATAGTATTCAACTTTGTACTAAAAATGTATGCTGTAGAACTCAGAACAATAGTTCATATATCCTTTGAGTTATGAACTAATATTATAGTACCCCCAAGAATAATTTCCTAGGGGGGTAAAAACGCTAAAAATCAGTGTCATCGCCATCCCGTTGAGCTGTCATCTTTTAATATCTTTATCAGCATGAAAAACTGATTCAGAAAAATAGGTCTGTTGCTTTTTCTAAAAAATGCCTCAAAAACCCTTTCCCTTGAGATATTCTGAAATTGGAACCTGTCTAGTAGTGTTGACTTAGCTAGACCCCAGTCACATTTCCTACGGCGACAAATGTGACTGGGGTGTTAGTTTACCCTTATAAAACCCTTATAAAAAAGTAGGGTGACGTACAAAGTCAAGAGAAGTGAAGATAAATTGAAAAAATACCAGTCCAGTCCATTTCAAGGTCCAAGTCAAGGTCCAGTCCAGGTCCAAGTCCAGTATTTGTCCAGGTCAAAGTCAAGTCTAGGTCAAAATCCAGTCCAGGACCTAGGTCAAAATCTAGGTCAAATTCAAAGTTTTTCCTTATTTTTGCGATTCTGACACTACACTTTAATTATATTCTTCGAAACTGTGTATATATGTAGCCAAGGGTGTGCTAATAGAGACAGCCTTTGCCGTCAAAAAGTATTATGACCCACTTTTGAGATATGGTGTCCGAAAAGTAGGTCAAAATAAAAAAATCTCCAAATTTAACGTATGAGCTATGAGTTAAGGATAGAATTTTCTCAGGAATCCGAATCTGCAAATCAAATTTCGATGCGACTTCCGGTTCTGAAGTTATGGCGTCTTGGAATTTCGAGAAAAATCAAATCAAGTTCTCCAAATTTAACATATGAGCTATGAAATAAGTATAAAATTCCAGAATCCGAATCTACAAACCAAATTTCGATCCGACTTCCGGTTCGAAAGTTATGGCGTTTTGAAAGCTCAAAAATCGCTAAATTTGGTGTCACGTTATGTCAATGGGAATTTTTTTTCGAAGTTTAAAATATAAGATATAGACTAAGTACAGCTTAATTTAATGAAAACCTTTGAAAGAAGGGGACCTCAAAGACTACAAAGCTTCAAAATTTGGACAACAATATCCCTAGGTCAAAATCTAGGTCAAATTCATAGTTTTTTTCTTATTTTTGCAATTCTGACACTATAATTAAATGATTTGCTTCAAATTGTTGTATACACGTAGAAAAGAGTGTGCTAATAGTGCTAGCCTTTTGCTGTCAGAAAGTATTGTGACCCACTTTTGAGATATGGTGTGTGAAAAGTAGGTCAAAATAAAAAAATCTCCAAATTTAACGTATGAGCTATGAGTTAAGGATAGAATTTTCTCAGGAATCCGAATCTGCAAATCAAATTTCGATGCGACTTCCGGTTCTGAAGTTATGGCGTCTTGGAATTTCGAGAAAAATCAATCTGATGGTATCCTGATAGAAAGTCAAGAGCAGCGAAGAAAATATTGAGAAATCCATCCATACTTTCATCCATCCTACCTACATGTCCTATCCTATCTGATCCTATCCTTCCTTCCTATCTATCCTTCCTTCGTATCTTTTCCTTCCTGTCCTTCCTATCATATCCTTTCTTCCTATTCTATCCTATCCTTCTTTCCTATTCTATCCTATTGTTCCTTCCTATTCTATCCTATCCTTTTTTCCTATTCTATCCTATCCTTCTTTCCTATTCTATCCTATTGTTCCTTCCTATTCTATCCTATCCTTCCTTCCTATTTCATGATATCCATCCATCTTTTTCTGGATGACTTGGCTTATTCTGGATGACTCGGCTTATTGTGGATGACTCAGCTTAAAAAGTCTATATCTGGAGTCTGAAATTGAACTTGTTCAATTTCCACAGTCTAGTTATTTTCGGAATCACAGGAGTTTAAAATTCCGGACCGCATGGACATTTTTTCTTTTTATCAAATAAAATCACTGTGTCACATTTTTTTGCCACTTAGAATTTTTATACCAGCACTTGTTGAAAGACTCGTTTTGTTTTCAATAGACATTGTCAAGTATCCAAAATCAAAGTATTTAAACGTAAAAATACTTAATCGATAAACGTTTATTCTTTGTGAATATCATTTAATTGAACAAACAAAAACAAACAAGATTTGCTAAAAACTATTTTCATTGCATTGTAACAGTTCTAGAACTATTTATTCTATTTAAACTTTTAAAGGTGTTATATTGTCATTGGCATTTTTACATTAGCGTAAATTTATGTGTTTTCCTTGCTCTACCATTTGGTTAAATTGTAAATATTTGGCTGTTTTTAAGTGAACACTTTTCAATCTACTTTCGACTCGGGTCCGTAGTCAGGGCTTCCCCAGGGCTTACCCCCCCACCCGGCCAAAAATGCTTTCAAAATCATGCATTTTTTAACGGTTTTGAAGTCTGCAATTGATCTTTGGCCGTAATTGTAAAAAATGACACTTGGAATTTTCATTTTAATTGAGAAAAAGTCAAATTTAAACATGAGCTGACCTTGACACCCTATAAAAAGTGAATGAAAGGCAGCGTTATGTAAATACAAAAAATAACTCTCGTAAATCCGATGTCAATGCACGGCTTTTTGAATAATAGGTTGTTTCTTATAATGTTTCACATAGCAGCAGTATCAATAACTTGCTGTGCGCATACAGCGTTTTGACTAAGGAGTGACACAACTATTCTTGAACACGTTGCGTTTTTAATAACTAAAACAATCTAAAGTTGAAATTCCTTTTTCGTGTAAGTTATCAAGATAAAGATGATGTTAATCAGAGCTTTATTGGCCACACTTTTGGTGAGTATTAAGTTCATTATTCATCTTTCACACATACCTAGGCAGGGTGGGTCAGATTCCAACCAATCCGACGACACTGTTTCACATAAGTGCATTACATTATATCACCAATAACCAATTCAAGGTCATTAGTTAAACAGTTGGCATGGTCATAACTAATCTCAGTTGACCTTGTTTCTTGTTAAACCACGCTGGTAGGTGGGTGGGGGGCAGGGTGTGCTGAATTGAAGATGTTATTAAAATAATTCTTATTTATCATCTTAATTTTTCAAACTGCGTGGAAGATATGCCCGAAAGGATGTCATCCACTTGAAAATGTATTATTCTAATCTTACAATTGGAAATAAATAAATGATATAACATAACATAACTGGACTCCTTAGATTGAAATTGATGCTTTGCGAGCTTGACCCTTGCAAAATGTCTCATTGAAAATATGTTCTGTTAATGATTTCGTATCTTTTATAGGATTTTCTATAAAATATTTTGCAATGTGTGAAAATAATGTTTAATAAAGCACAAGACAGTGAATTGTGTAATGACAACTCCTTTCAGACGCTGTTTCGTAAAATTAAAAGTTGATGCTTCAAATCTCGGAAAAATTTTGGAAAGCAACACGTACCTTCAAGGAATGGTCATTTAACATTGCACTGAGTCCAGAGCTTTAAATCCTTTATAAAGTACAACAATAGTTTATATTAAATAAAGAAAATGGAAGTTTCTGATATTGCAAAATGTACAAAAATGTTTGCGTTAAATATAACATTATTTTTTTCGGTTTAAATTTACTAATTTAATTATTTCAGATTATTGGCGCAGAGGGACAAGATATTCCGAATATGGACGGTATTGCTAAAGGTGAAGTGGCGCCTGAAACCACTCAGAATCCAGTTAGCACAACTACATTTAAAACATCAGCCACTACCAATCCTACTAGCTCACCTTCACCTAAACCATACACAACTACAACTCCGGTCAAAACAAGTTCACCCAACCCATCTACAACTACAAATCCTGTCAAAACAACTACACCCAAACCGTCTACAACTACAAAAGCGACTGTAGATGACGGATCTTTGGAATATGTAGGTTTAAATTGTAAACAAATTCGAAAAGATTATTTCTTATATGTAATAGACCTTTTTTACTTTCACCGACTTCGACAACAGAGTCCCGATACCGACTTGATTACTGTAAATCGATATGTATTGTTTAGGCTCCAGTGAACCATATCACACTGCACTGCTTGTTGTATTTCAAAATTTATTTTGAGCATGAACTCAATACTTTCACCGAAATAGAGATATGATTACGATATAATTTACGATATGAAAATGACCACATGTAAACCTGTCATCATTTATATTGTTTTTATTTTAATGAATGTAGTAATGAAATAGGCACTCAATACCGAGGTAAAAGTATTTTTGGAACATGGCATCTCGACCAGACACAATGACACAAAAAAGCAACACTTTCATTTTGGTATAACTTTTAAAACTTTGGTTTATCCATTTTTTTGTGTTCTACGTTTTGCAAGTTGTTTAATGGAACAAACGGTGTGTACGGGGATTTGCTTTGCCTTGAGCTTTTAGGTTACAGCAATATTTGCAGTTCTACTGTGTTCGAATGACGTCATTAACATTTTCACACGTGCTTGTAATGCCTCACATTTGATCTACGGGAACCGAGCGGCGCGTCGAGGGAAATATCACTGGTGATCCACTCGATTACGCTGGTTACCGAAACGTTTCGTTTTGGTAACAAAATGTCGGAACATCAAAGGTACGTCGTTGGGATACTGCCTACAACGCGTGAAATAAGGAAAAAAGAAAAATTGTACCTTCGACGTTCCGACATTTTATTACCAAAACGAACCGTTTCGGTAACCAGCGTAATCGAGCGGATCACCAGTGAATATGCAGCATAACATACAGGGATGGGCAGTGCGATGTAGATTCTATATCGATTTTGTGAAGCTACAGCCATTGTATTCCCGCCGTAGAGCAAAAGTAACCGAGGCGACGGTCATGGATGAATTAATTTTAAACTTTGGCTACTTGAATATATTTGTCAGTCTTAATGCCATGGTCACATTTACTCCGATCTCCAACATCGGCGCCCGGACGCGGAGTAGTTGTTCAAAACTGAATGCTATTTTGAACAAAATACTCATCGGACAGGCGTCGGTGTAAAAGGGTAGGAGGTCCTATCAAATTATGGTCCTACTCTCTATTGATTTATATTGTGACCTAAATACAACTCTTTCCCTCATTATCTTACGCAATCAGGGCCAGCCCAGTAAGGGCCGTTAAGAAAGGGGACCATAATCCCTGGGGGACCATCATTTCTTTCACACCGGTACTGAGAATCGGAGCAAGTGTGACCACGGCATTACTATTTAACTACATTACTACGTAGATATATTATATGTGAAGTTCGACCTGCAGGTAAGAGTAAGGTCAGACCCATTATACAAAATATCCTGATTTTTGAACATTGCAAAAGTCATTTTGAAAAATAACGCTGCAAATAATTTTCTTGTCACGCTGGATTAACGAACTTGGTTTCCTGCTTTCAGTTGGAAGATGAGATACTTAAGTTAGTGGATAGGGTTGGACAATTGGAGAATGAAGTGAACACAGTTAAATCAGTGTTAACTGAGACTAACACACAGTTAGCTGGTACTCAAGTAGAACTAGCTGCAACAAAAGAACAACTGAACAACAAAGAACAAGGAGTCACCACTGTGAGTGAAATAATAGTTTTTAAATATCTGTACTAATTCCCTTTCTTGTCATGCTATGTATTCCTACATTTCCATATCGTATCGTATCGTATCGTATCGTATTGTATTGTATTGTATTGTATCGTATTATATTTATTATTTCATCGTACATTGTACTACATTGTATAACATTGTACATGTATTGTATGGTATCGTATTATATTATCGTACATTTGCATTTTGCCAATATTACCCTATGTGCTTTTCCATGAAAACAGTTTTAATCATATCTTTTCTTCAGTATTTCATATATTACATTTTAATATATTTAAATTGGTTTATATTTATATATTATTTATAACAACAATAACAACGACAACAATAAATAAAGATTTTTTTGTAAAAACACCAAAAATGGTATATGATCTTTAAATGACTGTTGCGTGAACATCAAAGCTCAAAATTCGCTGAAATTGTAATTTTATAAAGCACAAATGATTTTTCTTCAATATGATATGCATTATTATCAGATATCTTTGGTGGCTAAAAAGGGCCCTTAATGACACCCGTCCTTTTGTTTGCTTGAATTTGTTAAGCACGTACAACGCCAAAGCTTAAATTGTAAGACAAAAAGTGATTATTTATAGGCAGTTGCAGAGAATCGTCTTTATGTTATCTACGGATGTGAAAGTGCAGGGTATCTACAGAAGGCTCTCTTGACAAAGGATTCGCGGTTTACATGTCAAGTACAACCAATTATGGACTATGTTGACTTTGCGATACTAACTCTTGGTCTCAATCTGTCACAAGAGAAGATAGATGCTATTATGCCAAGAGCTTCATGTCGAACTTTTTGATTTGCTTGTTGTCAAGATATAATAAGTAGGGCAAAATCCAGAAAAAGTAGATCAAAAATACTCCAATGGAGTATAAAATTGTCACCAGGATTCCGGAATGAGACGAATGTTAACTCGTGAAATCTCGGTAGATAAAGTAGGTCAGAAAATCCGGATTAATCCGAACAAGGTTCGGGAATTTCCGTCATAAGAAGTAGGTCAAAAATACTCCAATGGAGTATAAAATTGTCACCAGGATTCCGAAATACGACGAATCGAATCGGCAAACTTCGGTACAATAATGAAGTGCATAAAAATCGTGAAACAGGTGTCAGGGGCTTCCCTCATCTTTCCATAAATTGTTCTAAAAGCCTTATATGGATCTATCACGTGACATTCAAAATGACGTTCCTATATGGTTCTATGGGCCTTATATGGATCTTTCGAACACGTGACCAAATCAAAATCAAAATCAAAATTTTACCTTGACCATTGGATGGGATTTCATAGAAAATATCAAAGAAAACATATTCTCGTGATTCTTAAATCACTTAAATTCGATCATTTTATCTTCACCCCTTGATGGAATTTTATGAAAGAAGTTATGAAAACACATCATCATGTAAGGGTTTTCACCTAAATTAGCTCGTTTTATCTTGACCCTTCAATTGAATTTCATTGAAAAATGTTTCATGAAAAATATCATGTTATGATTTGTATTTAAATAAGACCGTTTCATTTAAATACTTGCTGGATAATATTTCATAAAAAATGCACTTTAAAAATATTTCAGGATTTGCCTTAATTTATCAATGTAATGTAAGTATTAGATTGACTCTCAAATAGGGTTCTATTTTAACTTTTTTATTGAAATTAATACTAGGCAGGACTCACTCTCTAAATAGCTAATAAAAATTCAACCCTTGGATGTGATTTCGTTGAAAAAAAAATATGACAAGTCCAGAATCAAATGATTTGTCCAGAACCTCTTAAGATCCTGTTTCAAGTACAATTGTGAATATAAAGACTTAAAAGTACACAAAAATATTCCAACATTTTACTCGTTCTTATCCAAATCATGGCTGAACAATAAAACTGTAAATATCACTAAAAACATTTGTACTAATGATTACTTATGGAATAACAGGAGTATATGTTACCAAAATAAACAATTACATTTTAAATCATGGGAAAATGCTGGAATAAAATTTATCTCAGATGTGATTGATAAAAGTACACGAAAAATAAAAAATGCAGATGTATTAAAGGAAAAAATTGGGAGAAATCCTAACTTTTTCATTGAATACAATATGCTCCGACAAAGCCTCATAAGAGTGATTGTAAAACAAGATGATGATAACACTAAAACTACATTCAATGAAATTGATGTAAATAAAGCAAATGCTCAAATGATCAGAAAGTCTTTATTAAAACGTAAATTGGAAACTCCAATCAGTGAAAGAGGCTGGAATGATTCATATAATCAGTTATGTTGGAAAGACATTTGGCTTAATGTTCGAAATATTAAAGAACCAATGTTAAAATCACTTCAATTTAAAATATTGCACAGAATATATCCAACTAAAGTTTTGCTATTCAAAATGAAAATTAAAAATGATGAACTTTGTAATTTCTGTGCCTGTAAGGACACATATGAGCATTTCTTTATAGAATGTAGAAAAATAAAACGAGTCTGGGAAATAATAGATAACACATGCTTCCTCAAATTGAAAAGAAAAATAGAATTTAAGCACGATATTATTTTTGGATATAAGGACGAGGACAAAAGGGTTGAAAGGAAAATTAATCTTATGTTAATGGTTGGAAAACATGTGATTAGCAAATACAAATGTGGTCTATATAGCTATAATGTTGAATGTATGTTGGAACATGAAATGAGACTAAGAAACTTATAATATTGTAAAATTGTTATAATGATCGTATGATTGATGATTGATATTGATTTACGATATATATATTATGTAATTTGAATATGTAATGATGAAATAAAAAAAAAAAAAAAAAAAAAAATCTAATATTTTTGTTGACCCCTGTTAAACCCCTCAATAATAAGGAAACGGTAATGTTGACAGGTCCTCAACAGGTGAAAATGTATATAGGAATATATGTTTTATCATTTAAACATCAAAACAATTGCCGGACAAAAAACAAGATGATGTTAAAAGAAAATGAACTGTAAATGGAATCATTGTTTTTAATCATATTGAATGCACAATATAATCAGATAGACGGTTTTATTTTCAATTAAACAGATAAGATCAATACGTCATACTAATTAGAAAATGGCAACTTCACGGAGTAGCCCAACGAACACCATATAAATCATCAATCTGTACAGTCACAATGTAATATTTACCATCTACTCTTTCCTTCAATAAATATTTTAGATCATTGTAACCATACATAGATGACTCTAAGTAATGTCGAATATCTGCTCTAGTCGGATATTTTGAATTTTCAGAGGCACAAATCCGAAAAACACTGCCATCATTGTTATCTACTCTGAAATTCCTTCAATTTGAGTATAATGTAGCCATACTTTTAAGAGATCAGAAATAATTGCAAAATCCCGCATTAGACAGCCATTTTGAATTTTTTGAGGCCCGAATCAGAAAAACGCTACAATATTTGCAATCTACTCTAAATTGCCTTTCATTTGAGTATAATAAAGCTACACTTCAAAAACATCTCAAAATTAATGCAAATGTGTGTTTTCCCAACCCCCCCCCCCCCCCATTTACGGCCCCTGTGGGTCAGGGTGAAAAATCCAGGATATATGTGAAATAGATAGATACCGTTGATATACTACCAATATTTTAAATAATAATGTTTCTTATTTTGGTTTAAAATGAAAAACATAAGATTTTTTCGAAACTGGCGGCCATCTTGAAATTTTTTTTGCGTATAACTATTCACCAATATACATCTTTCCACCAAATATGAAGAAAATCTGTGTACTAGTATTCAAGTTATCTTCCGGACAGACGGACAGATGGACTGACTGTCTGACTGACTGACGGACGGAGGGCTTCACTCTATCCCTACTGAACTTCGTTCGATGGGATAATAAACTTTCCAAAAGCCGATTAATGAGTAGATAATCTGTTGTAAACTTCAAAAATATCAAAATCTAATATTTTTGTTGACCCCTGTTAAACCCCTCAATAATAAGTAAACGGTAATGTTGACAGGTCCTCAACAGGTGACAATGTATGTAGTAATATATGTTTTATCATTTAAACATATCAAAACAATTGGCGGATCAACAAAAAACAAGATGATGTTAAAAGAAAGTGAACTAAATGGAACCATTATTTTTAATCATTTTGAATGTAAAATATAATCAGACAAACAATCTTATTTTCAATTAAACAGATTAAATCAATAGGTCATCCTGATAAGTTTCCCAAAAACCGATTCATCCGTTGTAAACTTCAAGAATATCAAAATCTAATATTTTTTATTTTTGTGGACCCCTGTCAAACCCCTCAATAATAAGTAAATGGTAATGTTGACAAGTGCTCAACATGTGAAAACGTATGTAGGAATATATGTTTTATCATTTAGATATATCAAAACAATTGACGGATCAACAAAAAACAAGATGATGTTAAAAGAAAGTGAACTTAATGAAACAATTATTTTTAATCATTTTGAATGCAAAATATAATCAGACAGACGATCTTATTTTCAATTAAACAGATAAAATCAATATGTCATGCTAATAATCTTCCCAAAATCCGATTCATAAGTATATAATCCGTTGTAAACTTCAAGAATATCAAAATCTAATATTTTAAAATTTTTGTGGACCCCTGTTAAACCCCTCAATAATAAGTAAATGGTAATGTTGACAAGTGCTCAACAAGTGAAAACGTATGCAGGAATATATGTTTCATCATTTGAACTCATCAAAACAATTGCAGGGTGAACAGGAAGAAACAGCTTAATTAAGGCTTATCTGAAAAATTCCTTTATCCCTACATCGGCGCCCGGCCGCGGAGTAGTTGTTCAAAACTGAATGCTATTTTGAACAAAATACTCATCGGACTGGCGCCGGTACTGAGAATCGGAGCAAGTGTGACCACGGCATTACTATTTAACTACATTACTACGTAGGTATATTATATGTGAAGTTCGACCTGCAGGTAAGAGTAAGGTCAGACCCATTATATAAAATATCCTGATTTTTGAACATTGCAAAAGTCATTTTGAAAAATAACGCTGCAAATAATTTTCTTGTCACGCTGGGTTAACGAACTGGGTTTCCTGCTTTCAGTTGGAAGATGAAATACTTAAGTTAGTGGATAGGGTTGGACAATTGGAGAATGAAGTGAACACAGTTAAATCAGTGTTAACTGAGACTAACACACAGTTAGCTGGTGCTCAAGTAGAACTAGCTGCAACAAAAGAACAACTGAACAACAAAGAACAAGGAGTCACCACTGTGAGTGAAATAATAGTTTTTAAATATCTGTACTTATTCCCTTTCTTGTCATGCTATGTATTCCTACATTTCCATATCGTATCGTATCGTATCGTATAGTATCGTATTGTATTGTATTGTATTGTATTGTATTGTATTGTATTGTATTGTGGCGTATTATATTTATTATTTCATCGTACATTGTACTACATTGTATAACATCGTACATGTATTGTATGGTATCGTATGATATTATCGTACATTGTATTATAAGTTATTGAATCTTCGTCTCGTACCAATACATAATTTCTCGAGCAGAATATATCCTGTATTGCACTTTAAATCATTCAATAATGTTATTATCGTATGATCCTCTGTATTGCTACTGAGATTGTCCCCTCCGTACCAATATTTTCTGTATTGCGATGGGGATGATCAACGGGGACAATCTCAGTAGCAATACAGATTGGTACAGCACAAGGACTGACCAATCAGAGGGCTTCATTTTACAGATCATACGATAATACATTGTATAACATCGAACATGTATTGTATTGTATCATATCGTATTGTATTGTATTGTATTATATATTATCGTACATTGTATGAAATCGAACATGTATTGTATCGTATTGTGTTGTATTATATCGTATTATATTTATTATATTATCGTACATTGTATTACATTGTATAAAATCGTACATGTTTTGTATTGTATCGCATTGCATCGTTTTGTATTGTACAGTATTTTAAAGTATGACATCGTGCAAAGTATAAATCAAAAATCTAGCCATATACACTAGCTTCTTCAAAATGGGTCTAGATTGGAATGGGTCTTCATTGGAAAGGCCATAGCCATAGAGCAGTACAATAAAACGATTACTGGCTATTATTTAAGTCAAACCAGTGTATTCCTACAGTCATTATTGTATATACGGCGATCAGAATGGATGTACCAAGATATCGTTTAAAAATCATACCATGGATTTTATATTTGCAATCAATTAATATTTGTCATATTTCAGGGAACCGGTAGTGTAAAGATAACTATTACCCAAGGACAGTAAGTCTACAGCTTTATTTTAGATATTTTGATAGAAACGAGCGTCTAAAACATTATATTCTATTTAGCATTATATTATTTAGCATTATACAGGGTGGGCCAAAAAACGCCACCTTTTTTCAAAATGCTATAACTTTTTTTAATTTTTGATAAAAAAATCATAATTTGCATACCAAATGAAACTTGAGGTTGTTATCTAGCCATGGATCATTGATACTGCTATATAAGCAAGGCGACTAAAACTAAATAAACTATTCCAAATACAATCGAATAAACATGCACTTCGATGATATACAACCGTATAATGATAATACTATATTACCTGATTATCGTATTACCGGAGTACTTGCATTGCCTTGTCTTTACAGGGCGACTACTGTCAAAGAAGAGTGTCCTGCAAAATAAGTCAAAAAGGAAAGCATTCCTCACAGAGAAGAAGCGTATAAAGGGACATTATTCAACATTCTCTTACTTTTATTCAAAAAACATTTTCACAATCCAAAACCTCAAGACCACATGGCATTCCATTCATGCTGAAGAATTTTTTACTATGCCTGTTGAAAAAGAAAATGAAAAACCAACATACTAACATCATAGAATATTAGAGTATATCCACGTAGAGATACATGTATATCAACAAGAAAGTTGAAATAGATTTTATTATATTTTACATTAGTTTTTTTGTTATTCATTTTGTTCATCATTATTCGCCACCGAAGGCCCCCTCACATATGAACGAATCCACCAAACGCAGCCTGACGCATGTGGTAAATTAGTCAATACTGGCGAATATTAAGCGAAAATGTTTAAAAATATGTTACATAATAGAAAACGTAACAAATAGTAATGTAAGGTAACTATTTGTTGCTAATGTTTTACGAAGTGTGACGAATAACTACTTTTCTTCGCTAAGATGCGTTGCGTCTCGCAAACAACCTTTGACATCCCCTTCAGCGAGTAATAACGCATACATGCGAAATAAAGCGTAATTATGCGCATTCTTCCGAATCTGAACAAAGCCTTACGAAAAGCAGGAGGCGTCAGCGATTCCCGTCAGCAATTAAAAACGCATACATGCGAACCAAAGCGCAATTGTGCGCATGCTTCTGAATCTAAACGAACCTTTGCGAAAAGTGTAAGGGTCAATTTACTTGACAACACCACGCTATCATATATAAATCTGAAATTGTTAACCTATTCACACAACGTAAGTTAATGAAATATAAAAATGGCAAGACTTAAAAGAAAACCAACCGCAGATTTTTGGCAATATGTTCTGTTGTCGTGCCAATATACAGGGTGACACAAAAAATGCCACCCACTTATTCTGGAATAACTTTGTCAATAACGACGGAATCTTCGTAATTTTTTTATCAAAGATTGATGTACTTGAATTGCATCAAATACAATTTTCTGAAATTGAGATTTCTTTCTTACACGCCTTACCATCGCGTAAGCAGGCGTCACCGTACAGCGTCAAAACATACAGTAGTACAGTTTTCTGTACGGTGACGAAAATTAACTGAGTTGAAGCAAAAACTATAATGGGGGTTTAAAAAATTAATTAGATGAAAATAAATACGATTTCGAGTGTAATAAAAACAGCATTCTCTTAGGAATGGTTTTAACTTTCTAATTATGATAAAAGTTTTTCGAGCACTGCTCGGATTTTTTCTGACTGGATCGGCCCACACAATCGACTCGACTTTTTTTCACTTTTCTTTTGGTTATTATTTTCCCTGTCGTCTGAGAGTATGGATTATTTTTATGAGAATATGTATTTGTTATCTACACATTTTAGAACAGATGAATATTCGGCAAATAATCATTAAGTGTATTTATTTAAAAAAGATCAGATCTGTACGGTGACGCATCTGCTGTACGGTGACGATTCCTTAGATTTCATGAAGTGTAATATATGACCTCAGTATTAACTTAAGATTCCATAAGTTTTTGTTTGGAAATTCAAATGTTGTATCCCATTCAACATTGAAAAGATCAATTCTTATGTCTGATAACAAGGATTAAATACTGAAACACATTCAACTCTAAGCTTACTGTTCGAACAAGAGGTAAAGAAGCGTCAGATCTACATTATCACTGGTAAGTATCAAGCGAAGGTTACAGCCGTCACCTTAGCATTTAAGATGGCGGACAGGAAGTATTAATTTCGATATTTTTAGTTTTCATGGAATTAACTATTTGAAAGTTGACGCAATGCTTTGATATCATTTGAAATACAGACCAGGCTTTTCTCATATGACTAACAAAGATAGCCTACATAGCCATCTTTACCCCATGCAAGATATTGCATCTTTCATCCTAAAAGTCACACGTGCAAGATGAGATTTACTTGTGACATCCCTTGTCTTAAAACAATAATAACATAGCAACAAATATACTGAGTTTTTTGTTTCATGATCCCTACCGTATCACACATTTCCAGTAACCTTCCATTAAGGGATGGAAGATATCGTTGAATTGTAGCGCCCATGCACTATATACGAACAAATGATCATACTCCAGAGTTTCCATTTCATATAAGCCTAGTCTCATTTAGTTCATCAAAGCATAACGCCAACTATAAATAATTCGATGAAAGCTAAAAATATCGAGATCGACACTTCCTGTCCGCCATCTTAAATGCAAAAGTGACTGCAGTAACTTTCACTGATCATTTTGACAACATGTTTACGAGGGATACTTGATTGGATCAACATTTGAACTTCCACACCAAAACTTATGCGATTTGAAGTAATAAATAATGAATTCTTTATATTACTTCTCACAAATTATAATGAATCGTCAACGTACAGCTGATGCGTCACCGTACAAATTTGATATTTTTTAAATATACATAATGAATGGTTGTTTGTTGAATCTTCGCCCGTTCTAAAATGTGTAGTCGACAAATACGTATTCTCATAAAAATAATCCATACTCTCAGACGGCAGTGAAAAAAATAACCAAACAAAATGTGAAAAAACAACCTTTTTTCACTCTGGTCGATTATGTGGGCCGATTCACTCAGAAAAAATCCGAACAGTGCTCGTAAAACATTTATCATAATTACAAAGTTAAAACCATTCCAAAGAGAATGCTGTTTTTATTTCACATGAAATCGTATTAGTTTTCATCAAATTAATTTTTTTTAAACCCTTGTCATAGTTTTTGCTTCAAAGCAGTTAATTTGCGTCACCGTACAGAAAACTGTACTCCGCAATTTTTTGACGCTGTACGGTGACGCCTACTTACGCGATGGTTAGGCGTGTCTTAGCCATTATTTGTGTCATTTCTGTATTGCTTTCACATATTTTATCATTTAAATGTCATATTTACCCATTTTCCTTCATAATTTGTGCTATATTTGAGGAACTGACTCACTTTTTAAGTAAATTTAAAAAAAGAAAGATTTCTAAATTGCATTTTCGAACGATTTTGTGTCAGAGCATGCCTCCGCGGAAAATGTGATATCTCTTTATTCTTAGTTATTGATGCAATGCAAGCATACCAATCTTTCTTCCATTGAACACTCTATCTACACATAAAAGAAAGTCATTCTGAAATAAGTGGGTGGCATTTTTTGGTGTCACCCTGTATTTAATATGGCTCTTCTGACATTTCTAACATAGTCTACCTTAATTAAGAGGTCGTAGTCAACACAGATTTGAAATTCATACAGTGATCATCCATTGGGAATGTTATTAACACGTACAATTGGTTACCATGCCAAGCAATTATTGTAATTACTTCAGTTTGAATGAAATATCCCTATGTTTTATGGTTTTGGGTCGTAATATTTGATATTAGAATGGAAGGGGAGGGGTGTTGGACACTGTTTCTTTTGACGCTTGAATTTCATTTGGGATAGTTGGGGTTTGTTTTAATGACAATATTCGCTTAAAGATTTTGTTTCTCTTGTGTTTTCTGATCATGTTTAGTATTACACTTAATTTCAAGTTGACACAGTGCTTTAGATTATTTCTCAAAGTCCAACCTTTAATTTGGCACGATCCTGTCTTGCCATGGTACACTTCCTGCTGGAGAGTTGACCCAGTGCTTCAGAGTATTTCTCACAATCTTCCACTTTTTGTTTGCTGTGTTGTGGCCTCTGATATTGACTGCCCTGACATCTTCCAAGTTGCGATCTCTCCTCCATTCCCCAAGAACCATGTCGCCTCTTCTGTCCTCTTGGTCAATCAGTGCATTTTGCATTGAAGGGTACCTCATTCTCATCAAGTTGTGGAGAATGCAGCATGTCTTGACTATCAGCCTCGCTGTGGATGGCTTATGGTTCATCGTTGAGAGGAGTACCTAAAATGTTATTATGCGTTAAATTGAATTAATTTGAAAATACGGATTAATAGTTAAACTGTTAGGCCTATAGGTCGAATGTGGAACTCAGTTGGTTCCAATTTATGCGCATCTTTCATATTATTTATCAAACAAAACATACTATTTTCATGTCTCAATTAGCGGTAGTTCGAATGAAGTCTCATTTACTCGAAGTCGAATAAACGTATCTAGATAGTCCCAGAAACTTGGAGTTTAACTGTTTGTTTCGCCGACAAATATTATAAATTACAATGTACCTGGAATCGGTTGGCCAAAATTCCAAAGGCGTTTTCTGAAACCCTCCTAGCCCTCGATAACTGGTAGTTTAGTTTTCTTTCCTCTCTAGTGAGGGCTTTATGTCCATAGGGCTTCTGCATGTGCGTCATCCCCTACCAAGAAAAAAGCATATCAACGGTGTCGTTGGGAAATGGCTGTTGGTGTGGAAATGCGATCGAACCATCCTGCACCATCTCCAAGAATTCCGATGCATTATAGATCCTGGCATCTCCACTTGAACCATATCCTGAAATTATACAAAAGTAAGAGGATAAAATATTGTCAGTATACATTGCAAATATAGCTATAATTGTATTAAATCTATATAATTACAAAATTAATGCAGTAACGTATGTAGAGTTTACTCACCACCCAGATCACACCACACGAACTTGTAGTCTCAGTCGACAATTCCCAGTAATGCCTTGGTCACATAGGCTCCGATTTTCACTACGGCGCCCGGCCGATGAGTATTTTGTTCAAAATCGGCCGGCGTGCCCGGGCATCGTACGGACGCCGGGCGATGATCGCTACTCATCGGCCGATTTTTAGACATCGTACGGGCGCCGGCAGGGTTTTATCGCGGAGATAAAAGTTGCCGATGTCTTGGCGATTTTTTCTCGACCAAACTCATCGGCACCTACCCGGCCGTGTTCCGTCCGATCATCGTACGATTATCTTACGGCGCCCGGTGGCATTGCACGGTCATCTTGGGATTTTGCGTGCTGATTTGTTTGATAAATCTTACTTATAAAGTGATATAAAGGTTTTAAAAATAATTAGGTAAAGAATTATAATTACTACACACTGTCAGAGATTT